AAGAGGAAGAGGAAGAGGAAGAGGAAGAGGAAGAGGAAGAGGAAGAGGAGGAGGAGATCTTCATTTAAAAACAGCTGAACTACAGAAAATTGAGAAAAGTAAGGTCCTACATTTAGGCAGGAAAAGCCAAATGTACATATATAGAACAAGAGATATGTATGTGTCTCAACAATAGTAACTGTGAGAGGGATCTAGATGTCTTAATGGACCATCACTTAATTATGTGCACGGATTATGTGCAATTACTGTATGTCCAATGCATTCCAGGCTGCATCGACAATGGTATAGCATCAAGATCATGAGAAGTGATATATGCACCTTATACTGCACTACTGAGGCTACACTTGGAATATCATACCCAGCTCTGGTTGTCACAATAGAGACCTTGGAAAGAGTGCAGAGAACAGCAACCAAGATGACAAGAGGTCTGAAAGCTAAACTGTATGATGAACAGTTAAGAAAAATAGGTATGTTTAGCCTAATACAGAAAAGGATTAGGGAGTAACATGATAGCAGTCTTCCGGTACTTGAGGGCCTATCACAGACAAGATAGGGTCTTTGCAGGAAATTATTCTCCAAAGCATCTGAAAGCAGGACAAGAAGCAATGAATGGAAGCTCATTAAACAAAGATTCAACCTGAAATTTTCTAACAGTGAGAACAATTAATCAACAGAGAAGCTTGCCTCCCAAGTTGTGGGTGCTCCGTTAGTGGAATTTTCAAGAAAATATTGGACAACCACTTGTCCAGGATTTATTTGTTTGTTTGTCAGTCACTTGTACAAGATAACAGGAATAAGACATTAATAAGCACACAGGAAATGGATACAAATAAGTGGGGACAGTAGGACAGGGATGTTAGGCATCCTGGGGCGCTTATGCATGCCTCTACTGACCTCTTAGGAATGGGGTGAAGTCATCAGTAGACAGTTTAAGGTTAAAGTTATGGGGGTTTGAGGATTTAACAACAGAGTCAGTAGTGATTTGCAGGTGTTGACCACTCTGTTGCTGAAGTCATATTTTCAGCAATCGAGTTTGGAGCGGTTTACCTTGAGCTTGTATCTATTGTGTGCTCGTGTATTATTGCGGTTGAAGCTGAAGTACTCATTGACAGGTAGGACATGTTAGCAGATAATTTTGTGTGCTACACTTAGGTCAGACCATAGGCGACATAGTTCTAGGTTGTCCAAGTCCAAAATTTCAAGCCTGGTGGCATAAGGTATTCTGTTGCCAGCAGAGGAGTGCAGTACTCTTCAAGTGCTGTGCCAGCAGGTGCTACAGGTAGTCAGCGATTTCCTTCTTCAGCACATGGATAAGTACATCTTGAAACATCTACCTACCTACCTACCTACCTACTCTCTCTGTCCCTACCTACCTACTGTATTTTTCTCCCTCTATCTCTCTATCTCTATCCCTCTACCTACCTACCTATCTACACGCACTCTCTATCTCCCTACCTACCTACCTACCTACTGTATTTCTCTCTATATATATATATCTCTTTTCCTACCTACCTACCTAACTACTCTCTCTCTCCCTACCTACCTACTATATTTCTCTCTCTCTATCTCTCTCTCTCTATCCCTCTACCTACCTACCTACCTACCTACCTACCTACCTACCTATCTACACACACTCTCTATCTCCCTCCCTCCCTCCCTCCCTACTGTATTTCTCTCTCTCTATTTTCTCTCTCTCTATTTTCTCTCTCTCTCTCTCTCTCTCTCTCTCTCTCTCTCTCTCTCTCTCTTCCTACCTACCTACCTATCTAGCTAGCTATTCTCTCTCTCCCTACCTACCTACTGTATTTCTCTCTCTCTCCCTCTCTATCTACCTACCTACCTTTTTTAAAAAAATTGCCTCTTCAAAACCTGGGTGTGTCTTATACTCCGAAAAATACCGTATTGTGTGCCTGTGTATTATTGTGATTGAAGCTGTAGTAGTCATTGACAGGTAGGACATTGTAACAGATAATTTTGTGTACTACGCTTAGGATGGCATAAGGTCTTCTGCCTTGGGCCAGTGGTTGGACTAAAAGACCTCAAAGTTTCCTTTCAGCCATATGATTCTATGTAATTCTTTGTAATTCCTTCTCCTTCTCCTATTTCTTTTGTTTCCAAGGTACACCAATCCTAATCATTTTGGGCTTTCTACCAATCTCCTTAGCTAGAAGTGGTTTTATAAAAATTGTAAAGGTATAAATAATAGTATATCACTTCACTTTTATAAAAGTGCAACCGAAGGGCTAAATCACTGTATGGGCTTTTAGTCTCATAAATGTAAGAGATTTTACAATGCTCACATTGGAAAATCAAAACAGTAAGTAGCTTGAACTTCATAAAAGAGTTCAGACAGGCATTAAACACTTAGTTACACTATTCATTACTCAGAGTATTTGCTATCTAACTGGAAAGAAATTAAGAGAGTTCTTGTTTCTTATATCTTGAGAAATTTCTGTATAAGACTTGATTTTTAAGGTCACTGTATTGTGATAGACAGCATGGTCAAGGTTTGCAAACCTTACCAGCAAATACACAGAGATCCATGCCTAAAGGAGCACTGAATTATCATGGACTACAAGGCTCTGTTTTATTAATCTATATTATATTATTATTCTGTTCTTTTCAGATGCAAATACAGGCTGTCCTAGACTTATAGGTAGTCACTTGGCAACCACTGAAACACCATATTCCAACAACAGCAATAGCAATAGCACTTATATACCACTTCACTTTAAAGCCCTCTCTAAGTGGTTTGTAGAGCCAGCATATTGCCCCCAACAATCTGGGTCCCCATTTGACTGAACCTGGAAGGATGAAAGGCTGAGTCGACCGTAAACCACTCAGAATCGAAGGCCTGGAGCGAGCAGTGAGTTAGCCTGCAGCACTGCATTCTAGCCATTGTGCCACCATGGTTCTGTGACAAAATCTCTATCCACGCAATTTTATCAAAAAGTCCCTGACCGTTCAACCCAATACAGCACAACCAACACAAACCCTAAGAAGAATTACACTGCCATACTTTAAGAATAGCTCAGAAACCACCAACAGACGACTATTATATGGAATCAGCTTAGCACGCAAGCCAACTAAAGCCTTTCAAAACACCCTAAGCAGACAAAAAAATAATAATCCAACAATCCCAGAAGAAGAAAACAGGAAATATCTACAACATACAATGTAACAGTGATGTGCGGTCAGCTTTAAGCCTGGTGAGGCACTTTTTAGACTTGTGGACTTCAACTCCCAGATTTCCACAGCCAGGCATGCTCAGTTCCGATTTAAAGCGACAGCATTTTCCCTCCTTGCAAAATAACTTTTCCCATTCTTTTTCTTCTCCCTCCCCCTCCTTCCTCCCTNCTAGGTGGGCTAGTGGTCTGTGCAGGTTCTGGAGGGGGATCCAGGTCCGCTGTGTCCCTGGCCTTACAGAGTAGGGAGCTAAATAAGGAGGGAGGAAACAGGCCCGTGATGTTGGGGGCGTCTGTAGACTGAGCATCCTCATCCTCAGAGAACCCCACGCCCTTCAGCTCCCCTTCTTCTAAATCTGAGGCTTCACTGGCAGTGGAGGGAGAAGGGGACCTGTGCTCTCTGGCCACAGAGGCTCTGGGAAGGGCCTTATGATCTCTGGGCTGGTCCCGGGATGATCCCTGTAGTGAGGCCTGGGGTTGGTGCTGCATCCCAGCGGCCATCACTTGAGCTAAAGCCCTGGCTAGAACCTCCTGGAAGCTCTCAGGTAACTCTGGGAGGGCAGGGCGGAGCTCTGGGGGCTGTAGGTGATCCCTTGCCTCTGGGGAATTTGGTGCCAGCCTGGGCCTAGCGGAGCTGGAAACTCTGTGCCCAAAGGGATCCCCCCACGTTTCAGAGGAATGAGCAGGCGAAAGGGAGGGCGAAATGGAGCTATGCCTCCTGCCTGAGCCCCTGGAGGAGCCAGGGGAGGGAAGCTGGGCCTCTGCAGTGCAGGGAGCCTGCGGGGGGAGCATGACCTGGAAGGTGATGGACTGATGGTGTCCCTAAACCTTCTTGAGGAGGCCCCGGTGACTCGGCTTCCCTGGGAGCGGGGCTCCTTCCTGAGTGCCCTGGGCTTTTCTCTTTTGTCGAGGGATCTCCCTCTGGGGCCCCGGGAAGCTCCCCTGGAAGACCCCTCGCCTGGATCAGAGTCCCCTGGTCTCGGGCCTGCACCCCCACGCTTCGCCGCCTCCATCATAACACTCACAGTTTTGTTGCTCCCTCCCTCCTTGTTCTCTGCTGGCTGATCTTCTCTTTCCCAGCCAGCCTGCACCGAGGCTTCTAGGCCTTCTGCGGATCCACCAGCAGAATAGGGCCGCTCTAGACCTCTTCCCGCCTTCTCGATGCTGTCTGAGCACTTTCGGCTTCCGTGGGAAGAGAGCCGATCACGCGCTCGACCATGTGATCTCCTCAAAATGGCGGAGATTCAAGATGGCGGCCGCCAGTCTCCGCTTCGATTCCCAGCTGCTTGGGAGCGTTGGGGGAAGATTCCTCGGCTCCCCGGTCTCTGCTGGGCTCCTGGGTGCAAGGGGGCCTTCAAATGGCCCACACGGATCCTTTTGCCCTCTTACGCAACCCTCCGGTTGCTGGGGATCGCTGAGAGCACAGCAGGAGGGGTGAATAATCCACAGAAATCTTCTTTAAGAGAAAAAACGCTGAAAGGAAAAACAGCCTTAATCCTAAGGCAAGGTGATGCAGCCTGTAGGATCCTGGGGATTCCTAGAGGCTGCAATCCTAGAAAAACCTGAAGGAAAGAAACCCTAAACTTTCCAGGTGAGGGAGAGTCAGAGAAACATTCCTTCTGGGCTGGAGTCTGAGGTTAATCTGGGAGAGCAAGCGGAGGATCAGAGGCATGGCTTCAAAGGATTATCCTCAGACTCCAAGGGCAAGAGGGCAGGGTTAATACCCATTGGTTACTCCTCCCACACCTCACTCTGGAAACAGTCAAATCGCTATCTAAAAATTTCTCACCTATAAAGTTCTTCTTTAAGGTCATTATTCTCTCGTAGGAGCTCTTTCTCTACAGCTTCTTTCTGAGCCTTGCAGCTGAGTCTCTCAGTTTCTCGCCTCAGTTTCTCCAGCTGCCCAGATTCCTCTGAACTAATTTTTCTGTAAAATATCAAGAGCAAAGTGTAATTAGCCCCCTTATGTTTTTTTATTTGAATTATAAAACTTGTTTAAAATAAAACTAATTGAAATAGCTGAGAAAGGAAGAAAAAGTCAGGGTTGCTATCTAAATCTTTTAACCTGCTCAAGTTTTCTTTATAATCTTTATACTCTTTGGCGAGCTGGTGGTTTTTCTGTATAAGGTCCTGAATTTGGACTCTGAGCTCCTCTTTTTCTGCCAGAAGTTTGAAGATTTGCATTGTCTTTCTGCAAATTATGAAGACCAGAGAGAAATTAGCCCCTTGGGGTTTTTTTTAACTTGAATTATCAAGCTTTTGATACAATTACAATACATTCCACCCTTTCCCCCCCAAACTTTACTAGAATATAATTTTCATCACTTGTTTGATAAAATGGCCAGTCCCATTGCCAATGGAGAAATTATGAATGTATCGAAAGTGTGAACTTAATAGGGTTATGCAAAGATTTGATGAACAATGCCAAGACTTACACATAACTCTGGTCCCTCACTCTCTTCAGATCTCCTTCCAGTTTTTCGGTTTTTGTCTGAACAATCTAGAGAAGCCAAAATACAACACAAGTCAGGAATATATTTTCATATCAGCCCACTCACTACCCCCTACCCCCACCCCATCACTTGTACTGGGCTTCTTCACCTCTTCTTATGACATGAACTGTTTCTCGGTACTGGACTCTCAACAGATTCCTCTTAATCATATGCGAGATCATATGACCTGGGGAACTGCAACTGCTATAAATGCATGCCAATTGCCAAGCACCCAAATTCTGATCATATGACCATGGGAATAATGCAATGGTTGTTAAGTGTATTGATTATAAATAACTTTTTCAGTGCTGTTATAACTTTGAATGGTCATTAAACAAATGTTTATAAGTCAAGCACTACCTGTACTGTATATGAATAGGGATCAAACCCTCATACCAATGGTGATGATGATGTTGGGTAATGAAATGTCTGCAAGCAATGATCCAAGCTCAGAGAGTACCAAGGATTCTACATTTCTACCCTGAGTTACAAAGATTCTCTTCATTTAGATATCATCTTGCAAATTTTAAAATGGGGAAAAATGTATTTTTCACAGTGTTTCCTATGTGGCACATTGATTATGTTATTTCATTTTTTTCAACAACGGGATGATAACATATTGAATTAAATTGAATTCTTCGGCCAAAGGGGATACAGAAATGGATACAATTTTCCCAAGAAACCTTCATGTAGACCTTCCTCTTGTTTCTTCTGCTTCTAGTGTAAAAATGCAAAAAAGCAGATGAGACCAACACATATATGAGGAACCATGGGGATTTTAGGGTAAAGGTTTGCCATTTGCCTTTGGTATTGGAACTATGAAATCCTTATTTTGGTGGCATGAGGGGACCCCTTGTCCCCCTTCATATTCAAAGGTGCCCATTTCTTGTGGGCCATATAAGGTTCACCTTGATGTTTCAAGGCATCATTTTTATTCTGTCTTCGAGACTCTGACTTGGATTTTTGTAGATGTTGAATGCCTATAATAGATGCTTCAAGCCATGTCTCCACATCTAACTCACAAGTTTCTGGCTCTTTTTCCTGGAGATGATTTGTTGATGCTTCTAGCCAACCATTCACATCCTCCCTGGATGCCTCAGCACATTCCTCCGGGAAGTTGGTGGCCGATGCTTTAAGCCATTCTGGCAGGATGTGTTTTGAC